TCTGGGACTCGAACCATGGTCAGCTACATGGGAGTCCAGCAACATAGCCATTACGCCAGCTGCTGGTCCCGGCCTGCTATGATTTCAATGTCCCACCCAGGAGGGAGGGTTAGGGCTGCAGGAGCCAAGGAGCCAGCCAGCCTTCAGGGACTGGAGCAGGAAGCTGCGGACTTCTTGCAGACCCAGAACTTTTCGACGTCGCATCCAGCATCGTTCCAGCCATTGCTGTTCAATTCCACACAGTCCTCCTCCCCGATGTTGTTGGGCTCCCCTCGGTTCCAAAACTTCGTGAAGCTGCAAAGCCCGTTCAGAACGTGAGTCTCTGTCCGCGCCCCACCACACACACATTCGTTTTCTTTTCTTTCTTTCTTTTTAGACTTATTTTATTTAACTTTATTTATTTTAATCTGACCAGAGAGGGACAGACAGACAGAGAGAGAGAGAGAGGGAAAGTGAGAAAGCAAACCTCCAGGTCCAGAGCTTGAACCACAGTTGACCATGTGGGACTCCAACGCCCTTAACCACCACGCCACCTGCTGGCCCCTCTTTTTTTCTTTTTTAAGGTTTTTGCCATAGGGCATTTGGGCTTGCCAGAGAGGAGAGAGACAGAAACAGTGAGAGGGAAAGTGAGGAATCATCCCCCAGAGGGGATGGCCAGGCCGCAATCTCTTCTCCTCCATTCTCCTCCTGGATCTTGGGCACGTATGCTCACTCTCCAAACCTGACTTTCAGGCCACCGGGTCCAGGACTTGAACCGTGGTTGAGTGTGTGGGTGTTCAGCACCTTAACCACTGTGCTACCTGCCGCCCCCCTCCTTTTCTTTAATTTGCACTAGGGTGCATGAGCTTTCCAGAGACTGACAGCATGGAGAGTGAGAAATCACCCCCTGGGGAGATGGTCACACCACAATCCCTTCTCCCCCACTCTCCTCTTGGGGTTTTGGGCATGCAAATACACTCAGCACGTTTTTCAAGTTGCCAGGTCTGGGACCCGAACCGTGCTGTCAGCCATGTGGGGTCCGGCTGCCTTAACCACCATGCCACCCACTGGCCCTATGAACCATGCTTCCAGCTTCTGCAAACTTGACTCCGTACCGTCTTCCCTCCGTGCATACGCCGAGCACGCCTCGTTGTGAGCAACCCAGCCACGCGCTGGAGTCACTGCGCCTTGTCGTAGCCCGTCCTCCTGCCTCCCATGTCGTACTCCCGTGGGGGAGTCCCCCTCCTAGGAGTGCGATTCTCAGATACAAACAAGCAATCCAGAGTTCACAAGTTCAGTCCCCTCCCTTTTGGGGTTCTCGGGCCCCAGGACGTTATAGGACAGGACTTCTAAAAAAAAATTCATGCAGGGCTGGCCCCGTGGGCAGGTGGTTAAGGAGCTGGAGCCCACATAGCCAACCACTGTGGCTTGAATCCCAGCCCTGGCAGCTTGAAAAACACAGACCAGTGGGCATGTGTGTGCAAAGTCCCGCCAAGGATGCACAAGTGGAGGACAGAGGCCTGCCGTGTGACCGTGCCCGATTTGGGGGTGCTTTCTTCCTCTCCCTCTCTCTGTTGCTCTCTGGTGAATGCATGTGCCTTCTGAAAATGTGTGCAAAAAATGAAATTAAAGTATATTTTTTGGCGCAAAAACTTTAAAGAATTCTTTTATTTGGGACCAGCAGATGGCATAATGGCTATAGGTCACTGGATTCCCATGTAGCTGAACGCAGTTCAAGTCCCAGACCTGGTGGCTTAAACTCACGCCAGACACATGTGCGCGCGTGCCCAAGATCCCGAGAGGAGAATGGAGGAGAAGGGATTGCGGCATGGCCATCCCCCCTGAGGGGATGACTTCTCGCTTTCTGTCTCTCTGTCTTTCTGGCAAGTACATGTGCCCTATAGCAAAAGCCTCTCAAAAAATAATAATAATAATTTTATTTAACTTTTTAAATTTATTTAAAATGTGACCAGAGAGGGAGGAAAGAGCTCGAGAGAGAGGGAAAGTGAGAAAACAAATGGGATTCCAGTGTCCTTAACCACCATGACACCTGCTGGCCCCAACCCCAATTTTTTTAAATCCACCTTTTCGTTTGTTTGCTATGGGGCATGTGTACTCACTGGATAGAGAGAGAAAGAGAGAGAGAGAGAGAGAGAGAGAGAGAGAGAGAGAAAGTGAGAAAGCATGCCCGGGGGCAAGGCCATGCCAACATCCCTTCTCCTCCATTCTTCTCTTGGCATTTTGGACACGCACGCACACATGCCCAGCATGTTTTTCAAGGCACCGGGTCCAGGACTTGAACAGCACAGTCGGCCATGTGGGATCCAGCCACCTCAACCATCGTGCCACCGAGCTGGTCCAAATAATCTACTTCTTCAATGGCAATTGTCTCCTGACTGTTGGCCTTACTAGAGATCAGCTTTTCTCTTACCAAGCTACATTGGGACCAGCAGGTGCCGTGCAGACCATGTTTTCAAATTAGCTACTCTCCACAGCTTGCTACGTGTAACTGGACCGCTGGTCCTCCATCGAGTCCCGCTGCGTAGAACACACCAGACATCTGTCATGGCCACCTCCACGAAAATGGACACTAGCAAAGGAAAAATCCCAAAGCACCTCACCGATGCTTACTTCAAGGAAAAGAAACTGCGGGGACCAGCAGTTAGTGTAATGACTATGTCGCTGGACTCCCACGTAGTCGACCACGGTTCGCGTCCCGGACCCGGTGGCTTAAACTCACGCCAGGCGCGTGTGCGTGCGTGCCCAAGATCCCAAGAGGAGAATGGAGGAGAAGTGATTGCAGCGTGGCCATCCCCCCTGGGGGGTGATTTCTCGCTTTCTGTCTCTCTGTCTCTGTCTGTCTGGCGAGCGCATGCACCCTATAGCAAAAACCTCTCCAAAAAAAAAAAAGAAAAAGAAACTGTGGAAGCCCAGATACCAGGGAGGTGAGGTCTTGGACACAGAGAAGGATAAATATGAGATTTCAGAGCAGCACGAGGTTGACCAGAAAGCTGTGGACTCGCAAATGTTACCAAAAACCAAGGCTGTTTCTCAGCTCCGGGGCTGCCTGCATTCCGTGTTTGCCCTTACACATGGAGTTTATCCTCACAAATTGGTGTTCTACATTTATTTGCCAAGAACCTAATTAAATAACTGATCGTTAAAATAAATAAGTAAATAAAAATACACCTGCACACGTGCATGCGTGCCCAGAATCCTGAGAAGGGGATGGAGGAAACGGGATTCCAGGGGGGCATCTCCCCTGCCGGTTTCCCATTTTCTCTCTCTCTCTCTCTCTCTCTCTCTGTCTCTGGCGAGCGTATGTGTCCTATAGCAGAAACCCAGACAAACGAAACTCCCAGACGGGGGCCAGCAGGTGCCATGCAGATGAAGGCGACTGGATCTCACGCGTCTGACTGTTCATTTCGAGTCCTGGACCCAGCAGCTTGAAAAACATGTCAGGTGTGTGTGCATGCATGCCCAAAATCCCAAGAGAAGGGATTGCAGTATGGGCATCCCCCCTGAGGGGAGATCTCTCACTTCCCCTCTCTCTGTTTCTCTCTCTCTGTCTCTCTCCAGCAAGTATGCATACCCTATAGCAAAAACTAAACTAATAATAATAAAAAAAAAAAAGTCCCGACTCTTAGGCCTAGGGAGCCAGGCAGTGGGAGCGGACCCCCAGGTAAAACTCAAGGCAGAGGTTCAGAAGCATACCTGTGTTTAATAGGGTATTTCCTTCCCCCAGGACCTACCTGGTCTGCAGAGGTGAGTCGTCCACCCAATGCCATACATCTTCATGTTTCAGGTCGGAGAGCCCTATCCAGTTATAGCGGTTACTCGAGGTCGTCTGCGCCTTTAGAAAGCTCTGGAAAGGTACAGGAGGAGTCAGAAGCAGCTCCGTCCCCCCGTCCTCGAGGCTCAGCGTCTCCCAATCTCTCAGCAGAGAGTTCTGCTTTCCGACTCGCAGCCTGCCTCTCCTCCCACGCACTTGGTCTCACAGCGCTGAGCAAGACCACGTGGAGTTACCCCTGACGGTGCTCAACGAGCGAGATACAGATCTTAGCAGTCCGTGTGCTGATTGCACGCTCCGTTTTCAGCCCCAGCGTCAGTGAGAGTGATAGCTAGAAATCAACCACGGTGGGGGTATTTACACCAGGGAAATTGGCAAACCCTACACCTCAGGACTTCCCCCAACTACACCCTCCCCAGACAGTTAGCTGCTTTCTTTTTTCTTTTAAACATTTATTTCATTTAAATATTTCTTTCTTTCTCTATTTGTTGGGATTTTTTATTTTAAGCCATCAGGTCCAGAACTCAAACCTCAGTCGGCCGTGTGGGAATCCAGCACTTCAACCACCACGCCACCTCGCGATGGGCTTGCAGGAGAGAGATGGGGACTGGGATGAGAAAACAGCCCCCAGGGGCAATAGCCACGCTCCTCCATTCTCCTCTTAGGATTTTGGGCATGCACACATAAGCGCCTGGTGTGTTTTTCCAGTTGCCCTTCTGGGACTAGAACCACGCAGTCGGCCATGCAGGATCCAGCTGCCTTCACGACCACGCCCCTCACTGGCCCGAGAGCTAGCTACCGAACACGGATCCACACATCCGGCTCACATCTCATGTGTCCCCCAAAGCATCCACGCATGTCCACATCTCCTTTGGGTCCTCCTTGCAAGGAGCTCGGGGCCCCCTCCTGCACCCTTTCCCCTCCAGCCTTTCCACGTGAAGAATGTGGCCCCTCTCCCAGAAAAGCCTGTCCGGCCATCTCCCCGCCACCTTGCCCCGGTTGGCCAGAAGTGACAGGCATACCCCAGGCGGGGGTGGGCTGACCACCAGGCCTACCTGTTCCTCGTCACTCCTGACTATGACAAGCTGGGCCCCCATTTCCTCACAGCCAGTGACGGAGTCCTGCCACTTCCGCTGGGAGTTGGAGAAGAAGTAGCAGTTTCCTTGGAAGGACATCCACTCCCAGGGACAGGGACGGCACAGGCGGGCTGTGGGAGGAAGCGGGTTGGGGCTGAGACCCCAATCCCCAATCTGGGTTCCCTACCCGCCCACCCTTCACGTCTTCCCTTCGTTTATTTATTTATTTTAGTTTTGCTATGAGGTGTGTGCACTCACCAGAGAGAGAGAGAGAGAGAGAGAGAGAGAAAGCACCTCCCAGGGGGACGGCCACAGCACGGTCCCTTCCATTTTCTTCTTCGGATCTTGGGCATGCGTGCACACACACGAGAGATGGGATTTTCTTTTTTTTTTCTTTTTTTGAGAGGGTTTTGCTATAGGGCGCGTGCGCTCACCAGAAAGACAGAGACAGAGAGAGACAGACAGAAAGCGAGAAATCACCCCCCAGGGGGGATGGCCATGCTGCAATCCCTTCTCCTCCATTCTCCTCTTGGGATCTTGGGCACGCACGCACATGTGCCTGGCGTGAGTTTAAGCTATCGGGTCTGGGACTCAAACCACAGTTGACTACGTGGGAGTCCAGCGACATAGCCATTATGCCAACTGCTGGGTGGTTTTCAAGCCGCCGGGTCCAGGACTCGAACCACACAGTCAGCCACTACGGGATCTGGCTCCTTATCTACCATGCCACCAGCTGCCCTCCCTTTCAAGCCCTTGATAGTCAGGCTCCTTCCTAGACTCTCCGCCCTGGGTGGGCCATTTCCCCCTCCACTTCCTGAGACCTTCCCCCACCCCCAGGGGAACCGAGGAGTCCTGGTCCTTGTCTGCTCATTCGGGAGAAGCCAGGGGCTTAGCACATAAAACAGAAGGTCTCGTCGAGGGCCGAGTGCTGAGGGCCGAGTGCCTGCTGGGTACTGCCCTTCGTGCAGTGCCATAGTCTGGATTTCCATGTCGCAGACGGGAAAACCGAGTCTCAGAGAGCATCGGAGACATGACAGAAGTTACACACCCGGACACCCTCCCCGGCTCCAGGACCCCGTGGCCACTTACCAACGCTGGCCTTCAGCTGGGTCAGTCCCTCAGAGATTTCCTCCTGCATCAGCAGCTTCTCCCCGTGGGAGCTGGAGGCCTTGGACACTGTCCCAAGAGAAAAGAAATGGTGGGACCAGCAGATGGTGTAATGGTTACGTCACTGGGCGCCTACGTTGCTGAGCGCAGTTCGAGTCCCAGACCCGGTGGCTTCAAACTCACGCTGAGGGGGTCTGCGTGCATGCCCCAAATCTCAGGAGGAGAATGGAGAACAGACTGTGGCATGGCCATATCCCTGGGGGTGACTTCTCGCTTTCTCTCTCTCTGTCTCTGTCTCTCCGATGAGTATACCCACCCTATAGCAAAAATCTCTCTAAAAAAGGAGAGGAAAAGAAGCCGCAGCTAGTCAACGCCTCCCACGTGCCCTGCCCTGCTCTGGGACCCCAGGGTCTTTGTGTCAGAACTGAAAGAGGAGGAGAGTGGCACCCGGAGAAGGTGGAGAGCCACTGGAGCAGCCCCTCCCTCACTTTCCCCTCCCTGCACCAGGTGTAGGGGACAGTGGGCACGGCCACTGAGCAGCTGACCCGACCCCCTGGGGCCTGTCCACCCCAGGTGACGTCCACAGGCCGTAAGCCTGGCCTGGGAGCCTCAGACCTTCGACAAGGATGGCCACCAGGAGCCCAGCGAACAGCAGGAGGGACAGGAGCTGCAGCACGGGGACGTGGCCCAGACACCCTGCAGGGGAAGACGGGCAGCTTGAGCACGCCTGTGGGCCTCCGCCCGGCCTCACCTGAGCCTGGTTCCCAGCCTCCGTTTAGGACCCAGATTTCAAGCCCCAGCCCCCACCTCCTGGGACCCAGGAGTCCAGGCCCCCAGCCTCCACTTCCCCAAGAACCAGGAGTCCAGCCCCCAGCCTCCACCTCCCCAGGACTCAGGAGCCCAGGCCCGCCGCCCGCACATCACCCAGCC